TTCTTATTCCATTCAACGAACATGTCTTAATGACATTTTAGGGGGATTTGCTGCACACACACACATAAGTTCTTATTAACATATAAATTTCTATACTTATATTTCTCACATAATACAAATAACTAAACATACAAGTAAATGTCAATACTAGAGTCTTACTTACAAGCACGTTTTTTTGAATGGTCTTCCCATCTTTGATTTTCTTCTTTCAAATACAGTAAGTTGGACGGATTGATACGTCTTCATCACTTGAATCATCCCCAGAATGGTCTTCATCAGAATTGCAAAAAAAAAAAAAATCACCAAAATGTTTTAATCTAAAATCTTTTTAGACACATTATACATCTGCCTACCTAACTGCATAACCCATTACACAAGAATAACATATTTTACAACTACACTTATACTACCATTCAAATTAAAAACATATGACCAAATACCCGTCACTATTAGATGAAATCGATATGTGAGATGGTACAATAACACAAATATTAGTAGGTTTCTTCCAATCATCCTCAAACTTCCTACCTTCAGCATCCTGAACTGCCTGGACTTTAACCTTCAGATTTAAGGGATGACCTTATCCTACTATTTCTATTCCATAAATTCCTATTCCCTTTCCATATATAACTTTTTCACGTGTCCCAACATCCACCAGAGTTGTTGACGATCCACCTATGGTTTTTGTAGGTTTACGCTATGTGCCACTGCCATTCTTACAATACTTCTCGCACATTGGTCCAGTCTCCTTCTTCTCCAGGCTGTTTCATTTTCCAGATCAGCGAGAGATCTGCACCAACAGGTTAACATTCAAAGACATTAAAAAAACGTTAAGACGCTATGTCAATCAACATGCAAATACTACCGAAATACCTCTCCCAAACAAACCTATTTTTGGTCACTTTCTTTTCGGATGCCATCCTTTTAAAGAAGATGAAAGAGTATGACAATACAACTGCTTTTTTTCCCTTTTCCATACCTACTACTTTTATTATGTTTTGATGCCAAAACCACCTATATACACATATGTTTTCCTTTTATTATTTAACATTATTTAACAATTGGTTTTCCATTCATTTTAATCCATCATTTCAACAATTATTATTTATTTTTCTACTCATTCATATTTATATAACTATTATTATCTTTTGTTTTATTTACAACTTCATTTGTCAATAATGAGATCCAATATTTTAAAAATCGAACCGAACCCGCCGGTCGAACCGAGAACCGGAGGGGTCACCGGTCTAGTCTGATTGTTCAATCGGATATGCTATTGAACCGACCATAATCGCTAAAAACCGGCGGTTCAAATTCATGTCTTTTTTTATTCATAATAATGACACCGTTTTGATAATTTATTTTTTAAAATAAAATTAAAATATAAGTAGACTTTATTCAAAACTTATTTGAAATAATTTTTCTTAGTCTGTAATCAGATATTATTTAAAATTTATTTGGATTTGTATTTTATACTATTTTGTCGTGCGTGATGTCTACGTAAAAAGTTTGAATTTAAAGAATGAATTTGTGAAATTATGATATTTTAAAATTTTGCAGGTGTCATGATATTTTTAAGAAACTGAGTCATATGGTTCGATCAATTTATTAAATATATAGTTTTTTTATAAAGACTGATTTATTCATCCGAGTTATCCGGTTTAGTCATGCAGTTCGACCAGTGACCCAGTGATTCGACCAATGAACGAGCGATCCAGTACCTTCGCTAGTTTGACGACTGATCCAATTTTTAAAACATTAATAAGATCTACTCAAAATTATTTTAACTTTCTTTTAATGTTTTTCTACACATGATTATTGAAAAATTATTTTTAGTTCACGAATTATATAGAAATCAAATACATTTAATACATGTTTTATATTTTTAACGATTACTTTAATTTTTTTTATAATGCAGATTATACTAGTTTTTAAAGTTAATTTATGTTGATCCCAAATTATTACTCCATTCAATAAATTATTCCGTTGATTATTTCAAATAGATTAAAAAAAATTAAAAGAGAGAATAATATTTTATTAAAATATGAAAATAATAAAAATAATATTAATTAAAAAACAAAATTAAAAAAAATACATTAAAATTTAAAATGCATCCCTGAAAACACTTTTATTTTAAATGAAGTTATTAGTATATATTAGTAAATAAATGCGTCCATGCGTCCATGACCGGACCCGTGCGATGGGACCCGTGCGAGTTTAACCCGCTAGTAGAAAAGATAAAAAGAACACCTTAGTCTTGCTTCAAATTTCTTCTCTGATTCTCAAACTCTGAAACTCTCTCAAATTCCCCTTCTTCTCACCCAACACTCACCGCTAGACCTCAGATTCTTCTGAAACTTGCGCCATTGTTGCTATCTGTAAGTACTCCTTCACAATCTCACTAACTTATCATCTTCTTTATTTCCAACTCTCCATGATTCTACTGTATATGAACTATCACTAATAATTTTTATTGACGATGTTGTTCTCTTTTAATCACCACTGTAATTGATGATCCACCACGTTCATCTTGACTTTTTTTAGTTTCCCCTCTTTTGTTGTTAATGAATGTTCAAATTTATGCTTGTTGTGTTTGATAAACTTCGTTTCGTTTTGTTTTTCGAATTGCCTTGCTCTATCTTCACTATAATTGTGCGCTGCAAAAACTCCATTAAGGTTAAATGTTCAGTCCAAACTGGATCTTTTTCTGTTAGTATTATTTTACTATTGCTAGGGGAATTTTGATTGTTTGTGATCTGAAGAAAAGGAAAGGTGTTATGCATACAATTTCAAGTGTTTTTTGCACGTTACAATTGTTATACCCTATACTCTAGAAATGGGGAGTCTTGTCATATGGAGCATTGAGAAGAAGTAAGGCATGGAAATATTCTGCACGCGATTGCTTTCTATGTTTCAATAAGTGAATCTATAGCAGGCATTGAATCTATTTGTTAGTACCACTACTACCATGCATTAATAGTAGATGTAGAGGATCCAAATTGATAAGTTATTAAAATTAAATGATATTTGGTATATCATTTCCAATGACTTGTTGGTACTCCAGAGACTAGACCTAACATGTCCAAGGTGATCAATGGAAAAATTCTTATAAGTTATAATGCCAAGCTAGGGCACTATTAGGATATATAATAAACGGCACTTCAAGTAGTTAAGAGTAGTTAATGTGGACTTGAGAAAATTGTTTACACGGAAAAAGAAGAAATCAATAATGTATTTGACTAATTTGCATCGATGTACAAAACCCTAAGATGCTTTGTTGAAAAGAACTTCAATGCACTAAATGTACAATTTACTTAGTCTCTATCAAAGCCAACTTAAATTTTCTAGTCAACATTGATTGCAAATTTCCTCTAAAAACACTTTCTCATTAATTGATAATTTGATATATACTTAACTTAATATGCCAACCCATAGTCACGTCTAGGTACATTTAGCACTTGGGTCTCATTACTTGGTAATAACCCATTTAGCACTTGGGTCCAGTGTAGTCAAGATTGAGTGCTGGGTCTTAAGATCTTAAGATCTTACGTGCTGAAGTTTCCCTTTAGTGCTACGATCTTAAAAAAAACTTTTTTCGTGCATTTTGTGGTCAAGATCGAGTGCTGGGTCTTAAGATCTTACGATCTTACGTGCTGAAATTGCCTTTCATATGACTATCATGATATGAGAATCCATAATATCTTAGATGATTAGACTTGTTTGTTAGATTTATGTTTTTGAACTACTTTTTTGAACAAAGTCTTTTGAACTTGTTAAATTATGGAATGATAGTTATGAGTTATAAATTTAATTGGTTGAATTTAGTGATTTATAGGTTATTTTGTTCATGTATTATAATTTTCAAGTTTTTGTGTATATGTATGTCAAATTACCATTTCTCCCTTCAATAAGATCTTAAGTGTCGTGTTACGATCCTAGTTTTACTATCTTTCACAGATCGTTCGATCCTACTTAAGATCCCGTGCTTGACTACCTTGCTTGGGTCTCATTACTTGGTAATAACCCATTCATCGTGGGTTTATTCCATCCTAAGGTGTGTTTGGTGACTTGAATATTCTGTTCTTATTGTTAGATTTCTTCAATAATGAATGTAATTAATGTAACACAATCATATATCATGTAAATAAATGAACATTTTTAAAATCTTAAGATGTTAGATTTAGAAGAAGTTCAATGACTGATTATTATTCCTTTACTTTCTACTATCTTGTACAAAACTAATTATAATAAGGGAAGTGAGGATATCACTGTTTCTTTCAATGTGTGTCTATTATCTTCCTTCATTTCCTTCATGAGATGGATGCCGTGTCATCTACATGCATCCATCCATAAAGGCATAAGTGCTTATGTTTTTGTTTTAATGATGTTGGCCTTAAGGCGTTGGCATGATCCGCTACGAAATTAGAACAGTTTCTTGATCAAGAAAAATCAAGTTATTAGAATGACGATTGTTTTATGTGTTTTTTTTTGGTGTGGTGAATAATACCTGTTTTATTTAGTTGATGATTCTATATTATGAGTCAAATTTTGAAATAATTTTGACATAGTCTTTCTTCTGTCAGGATTACGCTGCTCATTTTTCTTGGACCTGTGCTATTGTGGCTGGATTTTCTGACGATTTCTGCCGTGATCCTTTTATGCTGAGCTATCTTTGTATTTTAGAGTATTCTTGTAATTCAAACAGTTTCAGAATTGAAATATCATCTTGTACACCTGTAAACATTTAATATTTTAGTGCTACTATATATCCAATTTGATAAACCTCTATGGTGTCTGATGATTTGCATTGAATTGACGCTTTCGATAAATTACTTTTGTTTCTTGCTTTGACTAACTTTATATTACTTTTTTGTGTTTCCACCTCTAAATATATTCTTAAATTCACATGAAACCTTGTAGATTTATATTGTTTATACGTGGAAAATGGAGAAGAACTGACTTCATCTGAATTCTTGGATACACTTCCTAAGCAGTGAAGAATGGAGACTTTAGCTCAACTGGAAGCATTGTGTGAGAGGCTTTATAACTCACAGGATTCTGTTGAGCGAGCACACGCTGAAAGCACTCTGAAATGTTTTTCCTCAAATGCTGACTACATTTCGCAGTGCCAATATGTTCTCGATAATGCATCCTCTCCATATGCATTGATGTTGGCTAGTTCAAGCTTGTTGAAGCAAGTCACAGAGCAAAGCCTTCCTTTACAGCTCCGGATTGATATTCGTAATATTCTTGCTTACTTGCAGATGATTAAAACTAGAAGTATTTTAGGGGCTTTATTTGTCCATTTTCCAAACTCGATTTTACTGAGTGCGGTTTCAGCATAAGGAGATACCGTCAATAATAGCATTATATTAGATGTCACATACTTTTGCATATATTAACCTCTCAGTTCTTGAATTAACGTCCTAGGGAGATTTTCTCCTATTTTATTTTCAGGTTCTTTTGGGAAATTTGTATTCATAATTTTGGATTATATTGCTGTCATTTTTTAAACTTAGAGTTGCTATTTTCTTTTTATCCATATTGACCAGATTGCTATTTTTCTGAAGGAAACTATCTCTTAAACTATCTGGCGAGTAAAGGACCTGAATTGGAGCCCTTTGTCCTTGGATCGTTGATCCAACTTTTATCTCGTATTACAAAGTTTGGGTGGCTAGATGATGAAAGATTCCGGGAGGTTGTTAAAGAGGCAACAGACTTCTTGAGTCAGGTGACATGACATATTTTATAAGATAGCTACATCTACGTGAACACGCCACTTTCTATATTTCACAGCCGTTTTGTTTAGTACATGGCATTTATTTGATGTATAAATAACATTCATACATTGATGGTTACATTATATTAGCTCTTAACGAATCCTTTTAGTTTAGTGTTTCTCTTGTTTCTGAAAGTCCCTCTCTGACTTCTGATTTTAGATGCTGTAGAGTCCACCCAAATGCAGCAAAGTTTAAAAACGTTTCACTTTGCCACATAACTTTAGCTTGCCTTCTTTACCTCTTCAAATATTTGTTGAATTAATTAGAAAAATGGGGTCACACCCAATATTTTCGGTTGTTGTCAATTTTTCACTATGGCGGTGCCATGGTGGATTTTGTGCCAGCCACCATAGGCTGCAATATCTATTATATCCGCCATACTTCCGCTATTTACCGCAACACCATGTTTGTATAAAGGATATTTGGGAATATGGTGGTTTAGGGTTTTGTGATTTTTTCTTTCTAAATATTTTTGTTTTGTTTTATTTTCTTTTGATTGGTTTTCCCCATTTTTTTGAAATTCTTCTCTGTTTGTATTATTACACTTCTAATTGCATTGAATTTTAATCTCACATAGTCAATACTTTTGGCAGACACAATATCATTATGCTATAGGTTTGAAGATATTGAATCAGATTGTTTCCGAGATAAATCAGGTTTGTGTGAATATTTAATGTTTCAATAAAAAGTAATCATTTAATAGCAGGATATACAAAAACACAGCGCACTTGCTATATATCTAGTTGAAATGAACATGTTTCTGAATAATATTCACACAATTAAGCTGTATATAGGTAACTTTGAAATCTATTGGCTTAGCTAATGATAGGAAAAATAGCCGTAAAATCTGTTCTCACGAAGGGTTCTACTGAGTAGTGATGATTATTGGAATGATCAATCTGAGAATGATAACCGCATGTTATATTTGGTCTTACTGTTACTTTGGTGATCTACCACATGTTATATTTGTTTTGAAATTAGTAATTTTTATTTAGCTGATGATTTTGTTGTTACGTATTTGTTTCTGTGTTCTTCATTTCAGCATACTGTTGGGTTACATGCTACTCGTCAACGTAGGATTGCAATCTCTTTTAGGGATCAATCCCTTTTATTGATATTCCAGATATCGTTAACTTCTCTCTTCAAGTTAAAAGCGGATGGTATATTGAATCTTGGATATGATGGTCATACATGTATACATTCATTTTTTGCAGTAGTAACACAATCCATTCTCTGAATTTTGTAATTTTGTTTTATGTAAAAACTCTTAGTTGGGAGCAAGTTGCAGGAACTGTCTCTGATGCTTTCCCTCAGTTGCTTATCATTTGATTTTATGGGGACATCATATGATGAAAGCTCAGATGAGATTGGTACTAATCAGGTATATGTTCCTTTGTTAATAGATGGCTGTCTCTATTGCCTTCCCCTAGTTTGCAGTTCTTTATTTGGAATTCAAATTATTTTTTCAGGTTCCATTAACTTGGAAACCTGTCCTTGAGGATCCTTCAACATTGCAGATATTTTTTGACTTTTATACAATGAATCAACCATTTTCGAAAGAGGTTTGTTTCTATTAATTTACTTCGATAGGAGAGTCAATGCCTTCTAAATTTTTTTATTGAATACATTATTTTTGAAATGTCATCTGAAACACCTGTCTAGATTATTTTTTCTACTTTTGTTTGGTTGTGATAAATTTACTTTCACAAGAATTCCTCACTTCGTGGAAAACTTAATTTTGCTTTATTTACTCCACCTAAGTAGTTTACCCTCGGCTACTTTACAATTGTCTTAATTTTCGGTTGAAATTGTTGATTTTATCTTCCCAATATTTTAACGTGACATGTAATCAGAGTGGTGGCATGGTTATTGTATTTGAGTCTGATGCCTGGTGTTTTCGTTAATTTGGCTTCTTATGCCTGAAATCTTTGCTTCTTTCAATACTATGACATGGGTTGTTATCCTCTTTACACAATACTGTTATATGTTTCTGTTTTGGTTGATGTTAAAAATGTTTTTGACCTATGCTATCTTATGTTTGTAATTATTGTTCAGGCTTACTGAACTTGTAAGGTATGATACTATTTGATCAATGAATATAGTATTTGAGCATTGCCCTATTTACTTTATATCTTATGTGCTAATATTTATAGCCTAAACATAAATATGGGTCTGTGAGGAATAATAATGAGTCAACTAAAAGACCCCTCTCTGCAAGTCTATCAGAGGAGGAAAATTATCAGTAAGGATATTTTTGGTCTTTTGTAGTTAGTAAGTTTAGTTAGGATATTTTTTTTGTTTTGGATCTCTACGCCCTATTGTACATGATAAATGTCTACATATAAGACTTCCTTTCTCTCTTTCAGGAATCTTTTTGGCAATTGTAGTTTTGACTGGAAATTCCAGTGAAGGAGAATATTCTCTCTTGTGTACTTTATACCTTTTTCAGTCAATAAACTGTAGGGACAGATAAACTCCCTTTCTACTAATATTCTTCCAAAGAACTCTAACAGGGTCCTTTGTTTCTTGATTTTTACATGATAGCAAAATTCTAAATTTAAATATTGTATTCTGCTTTATCATCAGTATGTAAAGAAACTCCTGTATATTATGATTTTTTGATAACATGTAGGCATTGGAATGCTTGTTGCGTCTTGCTTCTACTAGACGATCTTTGTTTTCTGATGATACTGCCCGATTGAAGTTTTTATCACAGTTAATGCTGGGCACCAAAGAAATTTTGCAAACTGGAATAGGTAAACCGTATTTTTGCCTCCTGCTTATTGTGCGTGTGCACATATATTACCCTGCTAGTGTAATTTAGAGTTATCAATCTCGAAATAAGTGCATAGACGCCGATCCCAGAAATACTATAGGGGATAGTGAGATTGATGCTATTATGAAGTTTTTATACACTTTGTATAATTTAAAGTTTTGTTATTTGAAAAACTAAAATTTGAAATTTTTTGCAATTACAATCTATGTGGTTAATGCATTTCAAATAGGTGGTTAATTACATCTAGTAGATGGTTAATGGATATATCAAATGTCATGTCTAAACTCATTAACCATCAACTTAACTTCATAAAGCACGAATTTGGATGTGATCAACTACAATTTTAAGGTGCTCAAATCTACATGTAGTTGAACAATCACTTTAAACACTCAAAAATTTGTCGCCGAAGCTGTCTAAATTGGTCTTGGGATCTTAGGAGGAAACACCCCATATGCTCCGGAAAGGTTAAATAATCAATTCCATGTAGAAACAACAGCCTATCAATGTTAGAGCGTCTGTGGAAATGGTCACTACACATTCATTATTTAAGTGAAAATATACATATAAATGTCATTGTTAGCATTGGTTTATTTCTTTATTATGTCCCTAATATTTTTTTATGTCCTTAATAAATTCCATGTTCACAGAAATTTATGTCCCTAACATTTTTTTTCCAACTTCCCATATTTAATTCATTGTAATACAGGTCTTGCTGATCATGATAACTATCATGCATTTTGTCGGCTTCTTGGCCGCTTTAAAGTAAATTATCAGGTAAGTCAAATGCTCTTATTGATTCTTCCTGTAATTGTAGACATGGTTTCATGGTTTTTTTCCTAAGATTTTTATATGAAATGCACATCTAGGTTAGTACTAAAGATGGAATGGTAATAATCATCAAATTGGCACATAGATATCTATCATGCAGCTACAAGAAATTCAAAACTGTGCCTAAACAATCCTTTTGTAAGGATATCATCAACTTGTGTGAAGTAGGCACAAAAGGCACACATATCAAAACTGCGTCCACCTTCTCCATTATAAAATACCTATCAATTTCAACATGTTTGGTTTGGTCACGTTGAACAGGATTTTAAGAAATGCTAGTTGCTGCCTTGTTATCACAATACAACTTCATTGGGAGAGTTACATGAACTTTCTGTTCTTCTAGAATTCTTTGAACCCACGGAATCTCACAAACACATTGGGCCATTGCCCTATATTCCGCCTTAGTACTACTTGCTACTACATTTTTTGTTTTTTTCTCCGCCAAGTAGCTTCTTTTCCCCAAACAAATGTGCAGTAACTAGATGTTGACTTCCTATCTGAAATAAATCCTGACCAGTCTACATCACTAAACATTTCAATGTCTTGTTGACCTCTTTTCTTAAAGAACAATCCTATGCCGGGAGCACTTTTCAAGTATCTTGAGTGCGGTAGACATCCTCTAAATGTTCCTCATCTGGCGAGTATATGAATTGACTCATTAAACTGACAACAAATGCTTTAACTAGACGAGCATGAGATAAATAAATTAACCTACCTACTAATCTTTGATATTGAGATGTTTCCAATGGATCACCACTGCCTTTACAACCTTTTGAAATACGAGAGAAAGAGAAACATTTAGGTAAAATCGTGTGATTGAGTAGCATTACGGATGTTCTATTATATAAGGAATTACACAATTAATTGTATTAATTTATAAGGAATATGCTATGGTATATTTATGGAATTTGCTGTGAAATATTCTATTCTAAATATATGCACATATCAACACTTGCCTTTAAGTTGGAGAAGTCAAATGTACCAAGTTTGCTACATATATAACTAACATGCAACGCAGAGTTATTAATTCTGGATAACAGAGCAGAGCGGCCGGCTCCAAAAATAGAATATAGAATAGCAGGATAGCGGATAGTGGGATATATTTTGTTGATTTTCTAGAATCGACTATTTTTTAGACTAAATGTACAAATAATTTATACAAATAACACAACCAACATAAAAGTTTTATAAAAATCAAACTAATAAAATAAAAATGGATTAAAGACTTAATTATTTATTTTGATATATGTTATTATTATTATATATATATATTTTTATTGAAAGGAGGGCATAAGTCCAATATGTTATTATTTTTATTCACAATGTTGATAAGGTAGCGGTACAGCTGTATGTAAGTAGCTATTGCAATGGATTAAATATTATTTTTTTACAGCTGTACAGCTGTAACTAGCTGTTGCAATTTGATAAGGTATTGAACAAGTAATTACTCTACTTTTTTACTTTTCAACCCTTATTATATCAATAGAAAATTAAACTAACACTTATCCTCTACCTCTTCTTTCTATTCTTCTTTCATTTCTTTATTGGATACTGTTACTCTACCTATATTTCTTCCTTGCGCAAACGTAAATGCACAGGGAAAAAAAAAGAAAAGAAAAACAACTCAGTCAACTGCTCCGCCTGGAGTCGACTCGCGGCCCGCTATAGCGGAAAAATCACCCGCGCTTTCAATCGCCCAAACGCACCCTGCTTCCCACGCGGTGGGTGGCCGCTCCGACTAGATTGCCCGGGATCGCGCCGATTGCGACTGTGATTCATAACTGTGATGCAACGTGAAAAATCATCAATAAAGGTAACAAAATACCTAAGTAGAGATGGTACGCAAGAGATCCCAAACATCAGAGTGACCTAAAGCAAAGGGGGACAAAGTCTGTTTATTGACTCAGTTGAGAAAGTGATTACGAGTGTGTTTTCGTAACTGACACGACTCACAATGTAAATTAGACAACTCTGATAAACATGGGATCAACTTCTATAGTTTGGAAAGACTTGAATGACCTATTTGAGCATGGCTAGTGAGAGGAAAATCTGTGGCTGAGCATGTTTTAAATGACATAGGGAGGTAGGAAAGGTCTTGAGACTCACATCCGATGTCAATCGTCTGTCCCGAACTCCGATTTTGCAGGGTAACATTATCGTTCGTGAAGGCGACAATACAATCAAGAGAAGGAATTAAACGACTGAATGAAAGTAAATTAAATGGACAATGAGGTATATAGAGGGTAGAAGTAATAGAGAGAGAAGGTAGAATTTGAACAATACTAAATTCTTGGGATCGATTTTGAGAACCATTAGCAGAAATTATTGTTAAATCCGAATATTATTTTGTGATAATAATATACCAGCACTAATCTTTTTAAATATAATATTATGACCTAATAGGCCTTACTAAAAGTCTAAACATGAATTACTAATAATATTAAACATAACAATATTAAAGTTAACTATTTATAACACTCCTCATCAAGCTAGTGAATGTATATTTATCATTTCAAATTTGGAAACAATTCTTTCAAAATTATTGTTATTTAGATTTTTTCGTTAGAAGATCTACAAGGTTGCCGTGAGATGACACATATAGAGTGCAAATAAGACCACTATCTAATTTTTCTTTAATGGAGTGTCTTTCAACTTCAATATGTTTGGTTCTATTATGTTACATTGGGTTATGGGCTATGCTAATTACAGGCTTATTATCACAATAAAGTCTCATTGGTTCATCATACATAGTAATTTACATATCTCTTGTGACATTTCCATGAACTCTACTTTAACACTAGATCTTGATACTACAATTTGTTTTTTACTCTTTCAAGTTACAAGATTTCATCCTAGGAATGTGCAATAACCTGTAGTAGATCTCCTATTTATAATTGGCTTACATAGTCGGCATCGGTATATGCTTCAAAACCCACACTCCCATTTCTTTCAAATAAAATTCTTGTACCAGGTGTTCCTTTCAAATATTGTACAATTCAGAGTGCAACTTGTAAATGAATCTCTATTGGTCGGTGCATGAATGAATTGGCTGACTAAGCTAACAACGAAAGCAACATCAGGTATAGTATGTGAGAGATATATAAGTTTTCTGACTAATCTTTGATACATCTTTTGATCAACCGAAATATCTTCTTAGTTTCGCAACATCCACTTGGATTAACTGGTGTATTTGCAGACTTGCATGCTGTCTTGCAAGTCTCTTGCAGAAGATCAGTAATGTATTTTTATTGAGATATGAAAATTCATTTTTTTAAAGTGGGCAACTTCAATTCTCAGAAAGCATTTCAAATTTTCCAATGTCTTAATCTGAATTCCTTGGCTAATTGTATTCCCAACAATTGTTGTCCTTACTCATCATTACATGTAACTATAAGAATATCATCCACATACACTAGTAACGCAGTTACTCCCTTGATTCAGAATGTTTGGTAAATAGGATATGATCTCCTTGACTTTGTTTGAAGCCCAAACCTACCATAACTTTAGTAAATCTTCCAAATCATGCTCGTGTCAGTTGCTTTAACCAGTGTTATCAAATAGTGACACTATGGCCGCAATGAAGGATATACATGACGCTTTTTTAGCTCGCCGTAATGGTAAATATCGGCCAGTATTGCGGGCTTTTCTGTCATAATCTGCTATGACAACGCCACAAAGTGGCCAACATGGCGGGTTTTTGGCTCTTTGCCATGGACCGCCATCTGCCGACAACACTGGCTTTAACCCATATAGAGATTTTCTCAACTTGCACATGGTGTTGGTGACAATATGTTCACGAAACCCATAAGGTACATCCATGTAGATTACTTCATCATGTTCACCATGATGGAATGCATTTTTCACATCAAATTGGTTTTAGTTCCAATTTTAATTAGTTGCTATTAGATATCGGAATATTCTGTATTATGTAAATAGAATATTCTGTAAGTAATTAGGATATCGTGTAAATAGGAAATAAAATATTATGTAATTACTATGACATTTATTCCTCCTATTATATATAATGAGCTTCGCTGTGTAATTCAAACACACGGATTCAATTTAACTTTCCTCGTCGCCTGGATGATTCTATGCCTGAATACTTGGGCCGTGTTCAAGGCCTCCTTCATGATTTCAATGAATTGTTGCCCCCAGCTGCCACCACTATTAAGGAACTTGAGCAACACCAATCCTTCTTCATGCTTCTAGCTTTGTATGGCTTACCTCCAGAGTATTTGTCTGTTCGTGATCAGATATTGGGATCTCCTACAATCCCCACTTTGGATACTGCATGGTCTACCTTGCTACGTGTTCCAGCAAAATCATCATCTGACGGCGGAGTGGCACCTACACCAGTTGATTCATGTGCTTTGGTTTCTCAGAGAGGTAATCGTGCTCTGGGTAGTGATCGTGGCCACTTTCAGAAGACAGGAAAACCTCGTCCTAAGTGTGATCATTGTCATAAGCTTGGCCACACTATTGATCGGTGTTATGCTTTACATGGACGTCCCTCTCCTCGAACTACCCACGTTGCCCAGACTGCTCCACCTCCATAGGCAGCTACTCCGACCGATTCTGCCACCTCACCTGCTATCTTCAACGACTTTATCAAGTGGTATGAGGAGCGTCAGGCTGCCAGTTCCACTGCCTCTGTTTCGCACATGGGTAATTCTTTTACTGGTCTTTCTCACTCCACATATATTGGCCCATGAATCCTTGATTTAGGCGCCACTGATCACATTACTGGTAATAAATCCCTTTTTTTTTTCAGTCTCTACTTCCGGTTTATTACCCTGTTGATATTTGTAAATATATATATATGATAGTGTTAAGAATATTTGTATATAGAATAGTCTCACATCGACTATATTATGTAATTAGGTGTAATCTATTTATATATAATAATGTCTCCGTAGTACTTTTCAAAACACACGGTTTATTCAAATGTCTCTTAGTCTCTTGTATTTCAACATGGTATCTAGAGCCTGCTAAGAGGCAATTCTTTCTTCGCC